TGGTTTTAATATGTTCATAATTATGACATTAATCTGAGTAATTCGAACTGGGAACAGAATCTTGAGGACCATGTTTTAACTGGGTCTACAGAGGTCCGGATTGTGCCTAATATTGTTCAGTTTCTGTACATTCCTCAAAGACTCTAAGAGAATCAAAATATTTCTTGATTTCTGGAGATATATTCTTATTTATATGTTAATGTTAGTCAAGAAGGTTTGTAAATTAAATTTTATTCATTCCGTTTATATGTAAAGTGTTTTAAATGGTAAAAATTATCAGTCAGTCAGTTTTAGCGTAGAACCTGGTACACATGTGCATCAGTTCAAGTTGCCATACTCATTTTCCACAGAAAGATGCAATTTTTAGACCAAATCCAAAAATAGTAGAGGCAGCAACAGTATCTCTGGTAATAATTCGTTTAATCTCGTTGACGGTTTTTTAGCAAGATTTTTTCTACAGGATGGGGTTGCCGAGCCTGCGTCCAACCCTCGTTTTTCACCCGGGCTTGGGACCTGCAGTAACTCTAGAAGAGCTACAGGTAGATAACACAATGATAACACAAGAAAACTAGGCACCAAATATACAATTCAAGAAAATGTTAATAAGCGAAGTTAAAAAAATAATGGGGAGTTCGAAAGACTAGAATCTAGAGCAAGAATGGATGCATCTGTGCCCTTTTAAACGATCTTCAGACATGCAATTCAAAGTCTCTAACCACTAGTTGCTATGCCATCTTGAAAATTCCGGGGATTATCACCTGTACCGACAGTGGTATTCATAAATCTATTTTCTCCAATAAGCAAGTATAATACACCCAGTAACCTTTCTGAAGGGATAAATTCCTTCACCAAGTCCAGTACTGACTTTATGTTAATGCCAAGCTGTAAATAAACGTATATTACTCGTTTATTTTATAAATTTCATTTAATTTGCTCCATCAACTAGATAGTTAGGTATCACGGATTAATCAACCGTCCGTCTTCAAAAATAACTTTTATTTTTTCTTTGAAAGAAGAAATTGCTTCTGCCACCGCATGGGTCAGTTCATGGCATGCAACTGACTGATGCGCGTTGGTCGTCCTTGACCTTGACCTGGGTCAGTGAACTGTTTGACACTCGGCAGCAGACTGCCAAGTGATTTGGCTAAAGCCAAATGATATTTCAGTGGCCCTACCATACTCCCCATCCAAATTCAACGGCCGTTTAAATCGGTACAAGACACGTTGGGAGTAATCACTCGCCAGAGGTTGTCAAAAGATGAATTAGAATTTTCTGAATATTGTTAATCTGTAAGACAAATGGAAAGACGTTGTCAACAACTGATCGGAAAATAGAGAGTGATGATGAATCTGGAAATGTTAGATATGTCGATGTGCTCAAAAGTACGACTTACGCGTTGGTTGAATGTCAAGCAACTAGCAATGGCAATGGTGGAAAAAACTAAAGCATCTCAAATTTCTGTCAGGCAGTATCGAAACACATTGTGTTGACAAGTGGGTGGATTCTCCAGATAAGCAACGTTCAGTTTGCCGCAAGAATCATGATTATACAGTAGTAGTAAGATAAGTGTTGTTGTGAACGGGGAAATAAGAAGCCCAGACAACTACGAAAGCTATTTTCTTGGGACGTTATTTCATTTCATTCAAACCTTGTAAAACACTTATATTTATTTTTATCCCTATTTTATTCTACATAACATGAGCTTTCGTTCTATGTAACATTCACTGCCGTACCTTTTTGTTCCGAAAATATTGTAATTTAAACATAACATTTTGCATCTTATTTTCTACCCTAACTCCTGGTTTCGGGCATAAGTGTATTTTTCCAAATTATTGTACGTTGTGGTCAGGATATTCACTTATTTATTCATGTACCTTTTTTTGCACTAATCCGAATTCAGAGAATTCAGAGTGTTCCAACTGTCTTGTCTTCTCTCGCTTGCGTGCTTGCCAACCAATCAGGTTCTAGGATAGTTTTCTCTCTACCCCATCTCGAACTCACGCGTACTAGACTCAAGGTTAAGCCGCTCAGCCTATCGCGCCAAGGTCATAATCTAGACAGATCAAGGTCAAGTCATAACAAAGTATCGACGGGGTAAAAGCGAATCAAGGTCATAACAAGTGTATTATCCATTGGTGCCAATGTGAGCAACTTCTATGTAGAAAGTCAGTCTGTGTACTTTACAGTTCACTGTTCGAAAATGTCGAATTTTATTCATAACTTTATTGAGCAGATTAACTGAAAGTGCAAAAGCTCAGCTGCAAAAACACTCGTTATTTCATCGTATGAAGTTACTGACCACTTTATAGTCAGAGTTTGCAGAACTTATGATTACTGTTACCATCAGTATGGGTCGTAGACTACAGATCAGGAGTGATGGTGACACCATGAAGTTGTCTCTACAGGACGACAAACGGCGAGTGCAGTATATAAGGTCAATAACTGGACTGAAAAAATACCGAACAAAGTAAAATAAACCAAGAGTGTTTTTTTGAACTCATATCAATGATATTGGTGCAAAACGCTGTCAGTTTTGGTATAGAGGCGACATTGCCGTCTCCAGTTTGCAAGAGATTCGCCCGGCTACGTTGTCAGACTACCACTTGAACTGAACAGGAGTATTTGTACAGCCGAATGATGTACTAAAACCAACTGTTGGATTTTAACAATTAAGGTTGATTGGTCAAGATTTAACCTCAAACAACTAAGTATATGTCAAAACAATAGAGCTCAAGTATTCATCCACTTACTTACTTTGCATAGGCATTGAATTTCCTATTGTCTCATTTTTAATGTTGAAAAGCTTTGTGGGTGAGACTATAATTTATGGACGACCTTTGAGAGACGCTGAAGTGACATTGGCAGTGAACAACTAATTAGGACGAAATTAGAGTTATAAAGCAGTTAGAACTCTCATGTACAGTTGATGGTTAAAGATAAAAATCAGATTTAGAGTTTTCATCACGAACTGACATCAGTTATAATGCCAAAACTCTATTTAACCAAATGTATGAATGAATTCCGCGCCCAAATTCGTGGCTCGTTATATTATATCTGTTTGGTTCGTTCATAAATCATAGTCTCGCCCTTCATAAAATAAAGTACGACGTCGAAGCCGAGTATTCGTAGTAGTTCAAATGTGTCATAATGTCACAGCGAAATGACATCGTTCTTGTATATACCGAGGGTTGCGCTAAACGTCCGTTCGGATATTATTAGTGCAATAGTTAGATGTGTGAATGCAAACATACAAAGACTATGGTGGGGTTCGCGGAGGGTCCCAAAGGTCGCTTAGGTATTTGCCGAATCTGTATTACATGTAAGTAAACCGAAAATGGAATTAAGATGACTCTCCTGTAATGAGGATGTCAAGCCGCAGTTTATCGTGTGAGACAATAGAAAGTACAAAGCGTATGGTAAATTTTGGTAAGAATGGTCACTACCATTGTAACTAAAGTTTAGAAGGTTCAGAAGACATAGCCATTTCGTGAGAGTCTGATGCAATGAGCTTATTACCTAGCTTCAAGTAACATATTACGTACGTCAGTACGCTTTTTCACAGTTTATCAACAAACGAGTCATGGAAGTACATGATTTCATCTAGAACTTTACGGCAGTGACAGAATATATGACTACTCTACATGAAAGTAACTACGAAATGTTGCTACGCATCATAAACATAATACAAAATTATTTATTCCAATTATGAAACTCGCTTGGGTTACTTTCGCTTCCAAGTAGTGAAGATTTAAAACAGATATTAGCTCAGATCTGGATTATTGTTAATTTAATTCTTGGTTTAGCACAGGGTTGTAGACTGAATTTGTATAGGTCCAAAAATAATTCCAACCAAATACTTAGTATTGCCTGATGAACAACCTCAACGAAACCTATGATTGCAGGAAGTTTATAGTTCAAACTCACCGTAAAATTCTGACATTTGTACCCCCTGTCTGACCATAGAACTCAGCAACTGGAAATAGGTAGTCAGTGGTCAGTTAAGAAAAACTTTCTAATGTGTGGTTTCTGATGAAAGATAGATGATAGTGATTAAGCAAAAAGGTGAATTTATAATCAATAGTTAGTCTTGTCTTGCCTGTATGTGTGGATAAGCTACAAACAGATGTGCGTCTGTGTTACCTTGCAGTTTTACTTACGAGAGGTTGATATTTCAACAGATATATTACACAGAAGCATTTAAATGCCGCTAATGTTTATCCAAGAACCACAACAGCTGATTATAATCGTAGTTGACTGGTTAGTTTTATCGACTGAATTAATTAGTTAAGTTTAAATACTAACCAACAACACTATAAAGCAGCGAATGATCTTAGTGACTAATGGACCTAAGCGACGATGAAGAAGAAAAAGAATAAGTGTAGGATGCAAAAATAGAGATAATAATGAGTTGCGTTATTCGAAGTCTTGCTCACCAGTGTGGATCGCTGATGTAGATGATATGTGCCAAATTATTTGGCTAGGACACAGTGACATTTCACCGGCCATTCGGCCCGATAGCTGGATTATCGATCAATGGGCATCAATAAGTACCTGGAACCGTGAGGAAACAAAAAGATGCGGACTCAAATAAATTAGTCAGTTTGTGCAAGGTCGTCACAAGGAAATCGAATACATTAAAAGTTAGGTTTATTTTTGTCTGCTCACTAAGATTGCAATCATATAAATTGTTGCCACACCCAACTAGTCACTATCTTGGTCTTGTGATAGCTACTCGTTCCGGAAACTCTACCACACATGGACAAACTATAGAATATACACTCATATATAACTGGTGAGGGAACAGACTACTCTCTCTGTACAAAATCGTAAATTTGGAGTCTCACATTTATACGGAGGAGTCGGTGTAGAACAAATGAAGGATTTAAATCAGCTCGTCACATGTTTATTGAGTTTTGTTTGGATATTCGAAACTGAGGTTACTCTTAATGCGCGGTGATTTCAACATTGCCCCTCGAGGTTAGCGAACAGATTAGCGTCAATGCCAAACATAAAGGTGTTTTCTGGCAGCTCAAACCGCGACTTGGCTCAAAAGATAGCCGACCGTATTGGCTGTCGATTAGGCAAGGTTACTTCTAAAAAGTTCAGTAATCAGGAGACAAGGTTAGTAAAGTCCTATATATATATATATATTTCATCAACGACAAGTTTAACAATTGTAAATTTGTAGTGTTGAGGTTGAGGAGTCAGTCCGCGGGGAAGACGTTTATATAATACAAACTGGCGGCGGAGAAGTCAATGACAACCTTATGGAACTACTCATAATGATTAGCGCCTGTAAGATCGCTTCAAGTTCCCGAGTGTCCGCAGTCATCCCCTGTTTCCCATACGCAAGGCAAGACAAAAAGGTGGGTCTGACACTTATTTTCGCTCAATGCCTAAAATTCTTGGTAATTCTTCGGTTATGGAAATGTAAATAAACTGTTTGTGGGAAGAACAGTCACCAAATCTTACTAAGAATTTTTGTGATCATATCCTGAGTAGTGCAACCTCATTAGCTTACTGCAGACAAATTATGAATGCGTCGGTACTAGGCAATCAGATGCGCCATGTTGGAAACTCGTCTGGTGCTTGCATATAGTTTATACCTTTGGAGTACCCGGTGTTACATGGTGAATTCGCATTTATAGTAACAAGTCTCGTATCCACAGCTGAAGTTAACAAAACAAAAGGGGAGGAAAACCAGTAGGGCTTCAACAGGTCCGAAACATAAAAACTCCACAAAATGGTCGTGTGTGAGCAGCTTCATTGCATTGCAGTCACGCTCCTAGGACCACTTCTAACCCAATTTCTTTTTCAGTTACCTCTCGAAGAACACTTCATTAAGATAGGCACTCAGGAAGTGATAACTGCCCTCCTACCTGTAACAGCACTCAAGACCACTATTCATAATTAATTCCCCTCTTCAATCAAAACAGGTTGACTTATTCACCTTAATCCAGAATCTGTGTAATAACTTCAATTTTAAGTAAAGCTTGGTTGAAACTAGGTGCACAGCGACTAGAAACATTTACTCTCACTGCTGAACCACGATCTACGAAAGTAGAAAACATGAATGTGATGGGGATGTTTTTGTCATAAATGTCTTTGTAGCATTGCGTGTGTTTCGTAGAACGACCGGGTAACCAAAGTTGGGGTTAGGCACAAGGTATTTAACAAAGCTCACACCAATAAAGGTGAGCGTCGAAAGGGGAATAACAATTTTAATGGTTTGAATTTTTGTCGGTTTGTCATCTGATCCATTCGGCTCTACAACTAACTCGAAGTGTAGTTTCAAACGTCCATTGAAGAGCCCACTTTCAGCGAGTAAGGCCTTTTTTTCTACTTTAGTAAAAATTTACTATTCTTATTATTTCAGTCATGTTACGTCATACGCCTATTTCAAACAGTGAGGAAAAAATTCTTTCCAAGTGATGCTTGTGTATTTGATTTTCAACTGAACAAGATTTTGTCCATAGGTGGTTGAAATGTAAAGATTATACACAATGTAACGAAGGTGAATATTTGTTACGAGTTATATTGATAGATGGCATTAGAAAGTGATGAATCATTCAGTAGCAAGACAAAAATTTACAAGATTATTTTCAGAGACGTTTGCTATATGTAAAAGGTCAGCACTGTAACTGTTTACTTTATGGGAGAGTAGTAAAAAAGTAATATTTTATTTCAGCAAACTTATCTTTTCTGAGACTAATTAGCTACTTTTTTCTTAAAATAGGATAAATCACGCGCTCCTATCTCTGCAAAATTAGTAGCTAATATGCTGTCAGTTGCCGGAGCTGATCATATCATAACGATGGACTTACATGCCAGTCAAATCCAAGGATTTTTCGATATCCCTGTTGATAATTTGTATGCTGAGCCTGCAGTTATCAAATGGGTCAAAACAAATATACCAGAATGGAAAGATTGTTGTATTGTTAGTCCAGATGCTGGTGGCGCTAAAAGGTAGTCTACGTGCATTTACTACTAAACCATGATAAATTTATTTCTATAAACTTAGTCTAACACTCTTTCTAATTGTTGTTAGAGATAGAGAAAACTAGGTGAGTTAATAGTGATGTGGTGTAGATATCTAAACAAACCAATCCACTTTACCTTTCAAACTTCTGGTAGAAAACAATTTTTAATACCCAACTTCCGATAAAGTTATTGACTGCCTTTTAAAGTGAGGTTTAATGGGATAAAGACAGCTGCTTAAAAATAGTGTAATGTATTGATTGGCTTCTCAAACCATTGAAGTTATTAGTAATCTCCAAGTTATGTGTGAAATACTCAGAAACCAGTCTCAATTTTGACTTCACAAATGACTTGGCTGTTCGATTTTGTACGAACTAAAAATTCCAGACAAGGACTGTCAATGTATCACCGGTTTCAGCAGTAGTAGGCCTCAATATTGACAAAGGAAATGGCAAGATCCTAAAATACATCACAGAAAACAGCACTCGAAAGCCAGCGCCTGAAGAAGCGGAAGCTTTTACGTACCTTGACGGTATCATTAGTCAATAGAGGGGATCTAGTGCAGACGCATGGGCACGGATTAGCAGTACAAGGACAGTAAAGGAGATTAAAACTCAAAAAGACTTTCAGCCAACACCAAAGTTAAGGTTTGTAATACAAGCATGAAAACAGTTCTATTGTATAGAGCTGAAACTTGGAAAACTGCTACAACCACCATAAAAAAGATACAGGTGTTTACAAACACACAAAGTATTCCATATCCATTGACCAGATACTATCAGCATTGGTCTACCCTGGTAGAGCCCATACTGGCTTCCAGCTGATCAGGAAGTCGCAATAGGACGCTGGAGATGGATAGGACGTGCATTGCGGGAATAACCTAACTTCATCGCGAGGCAAGCCCCAACTTAGAATCCTGGTGGCAAAAGAAAAAGAGAAAAATCAGAGAACATATTGTACCAGGAATTTGAAGCAGACATCAAAAGAATAAAGAGAACTTAGGAACAACTGGAAAGGAGTACCCAAGATAGAAAGAATTGAAGATCTCTGGTTTGTAGCTCATGCTCCACGAGGGGCAACAGGCGTAAATAAGTAAGAAGTCAAGTCTAACTTCTCACAGTCCCCGTAGTGAAAAGAAGTTCATGTCATAACTACCACCAGAAAATCCTATATGTCAACACAAAGAGTCTTCTGCCATAGTTTCGTCAAGTCAAACTATCTACACACAAAAGATCATCTTAAACATATCAGTTCTAAGCCTGTTTATAAGTAGGCTAATAGTCACTTTATTTTGGGATTTAAACAACTTTTATTTTAGTAAGTCATACCACTGCATAAGTTTTCATATGTGATGTATCCAGTTGAAATTATCACCTCTTTTTATTCCACTCAGCTTCAGAGTTAGGAAGGATGAAAACCACTAAGACAAAATGGTTAAAATCTGACAAAGCTCTCCAACTCGATGTTTCAAGGCGTTAACATACGGAATTATCAACACTTCTGATCGTATGCTCCTCGATGTTAGGATTACTTACTGATGCCTACATTTCCGTGGACAGACTAACTCCGCAACTACTTCGAAGTTACCCCTAATTTAAATAAACTGCTATTGCTCCCATTACACACGAATCTAATCTGTCACACCAGACATCTATCCAGGTACTCAGACGTCTTAACTACTTCTAACCACACTAAAACTAGTGAGTTCTAGCACACATGCGCGCAAAAATACGCATTATTTTTATGATAGAAATCATTTGTGTTATAACTTGTGCCCTGTGTGCCCTGTTAATGTATAACGTAATGATACAGCCAATTACAGAACAGTGAATTATCGACCGGACCAATGATGCATAAAACCTGTACGAGCAGCTTAGAGTCTTTATCGGTCCTGCTTACCGCCTAACCCAGCCTGTTAAGTTCAGAACACCAATCTCGGCTTCTGCGATATTAATCATGTATTTCAAACACTGGGTTTATATACCAACTAGACAGACTACATCGTACCATAAAATATGAAACAACATTTGTACAGGATTTAGCCAAATGTGGCTGTGAATGTGAGAGGTAGTAATTAATAGACAGGGTAATTTGCATGTTTATATCAATTATACTGAGGTCAGTAAAGGTCAATATACTCTGTTCACCAACTGGTAATCTCAGAGCCCAGTTTCATCCAATTAATCGATGGCACTGTTTTAGGAATCTTACCCATAAAATCAAATGACTGACTAAGCTTCTTTCCGGTACCTCAAACAATTAACACTTGAATGGTCATACTAACTTCAAGACCCACCTTTTATTATTTCCTGCCTACATAATTTGTGGGTATTTTATTCAATTGGTTTGATTTTCTCAGTCCACTCTTTTTTATTTTCATTTTATTCTTTGATTCTTTTTCAGAGTAACTTCAATCGCGGATCAGTTAAATGTCGATTTTGCCTTGATTCACAAAGAACGGAAACGTGCAAACGAAGTGGATCGTATGGTTCTTGTTGGAGATGTAAATAACCGTGTCGCTATCCTGGTTGATGATATGGCAGATACATGTGGAACGATATGCACTGCGGCAGACAAGTACACAATTTTATTTTAAATATTTTTCCTGGTAAACTCATCTAATTAATTTATATACGGTGTTACCAGTGTTATGCCTTCGTGATGTGTCCACTTTGTTACACTTAAATCTATTTCCGCCACCACCTTAAGTATTCGTTTTTCATTCTGTGTATATTTTTATGGTATGTAGACTGATCTTTATTTCCTAACTTAAGCGCCTAATGTTCTGTTCATAAATTGCAATAATATTAGAGTCACTGAAACCGAACATTGGTTATCTAAAAAGAATTCTTGTTGTCATGGGAATAGAATTCCAATGAATTTAGAATAATTTAGCGAAATTTCAGTGGTTTGAACACATTCAACAGAAAAAAGGTTGTATTTTGGAACTTTATTTTATTCCTTCTTGATAATACCATCAACTCTGAAACTAGTGTGTTATGACTACGGATTCGATGTTATTATTTTGGTTCATTGAAGTAAGATAATATTGCTTTGAAAACAAAAAAAAGTTAGGCTAAAATAGTTCACAGCAAAAACTGAGTTCTTGTTCTCTCTTTGTTTACTAATGACATCCATGAATGGTTTATCTGGCTGTAACCTTCACACCTTAATTGTCACTCAAAGCTAAGTATATAGATTTGTACTAGTTAAATGAGTTTGCAAAACAAAAGGTTTGTAACTAAATAGTAGAATACATAGTTAGCTGACAATCTTCCTAATTATTTTTTATTAGACGTTTTGTAATAACTCCAACCGCAAGTAGCTAATATGATGCCATATAAGAACGACACAAAAATGACTGTCTTCCGTTTTCGAGTATCTTTTACTTTATTTGAAAATGTGGCAGTTTAAATTATGTGTTCTTGGGAAATTGTGATATTGTAAGCACTAATAGTAGTGTGACTTGAGAATCACCATACAGATTCCTCCTAAATTAGACTGTTATTGACATTCACTTTATGAAATTCAGCTATTCTACTCTCCTCATAAGTGAATAAATCCTTTATTATTGATTGCTACTGTTAAACCTTATGTTTTCTGTCTCTTAATATTTATAATATTTGTTATGTTTCTAAAATTACAGATTGATTGAAGCTGGCGCTGAGCGTGTTTACGCTATCTGCACTCATGGTATATTTTCAGGCCCAGCTTTGGAGCGAATTAATAAGTCAGCTTTCGAAGCTGTCGTTGTAACAAATACTTTGCCACAAGAAGAAAATATGCGGAAAGCTCCTAAAATTCAGGTAAGGAAATTCTGAAATCAACACTGAGGTATTGGGATTTCAACGAACTAGTTGATTAACTGCATGAATTCCAATGTATTCGTATAGTTTTTTCCTTGGAGGGGTAGACAAATAAGAAATAAAATATCAACAAGTACCGTGTTTCGCTTTAAAATTTTAAGTGCTTAGCAACGTAATACTTTGTAAGCCTTTCTTAATACTGTGCGAATTCACATAATTTGAATTCATAGTTATTCCTTCCAAACAAATTGAAAATGATAATTTTTATTAGTATATGGTTTCGGAGATCATTAAGTTTTTTAATTGAGATCGTGAACCGATTGGTGTTAGACCACCATTGAAAACCTGGAAGCACTGGACGGCCGTTTCGTCTTATTGTGGGATGCCGGCTCAGTGGTCGAGAGGTTAGGCGTTCGTGCGCGAGACTGAAGGCCCTGGGTTCGAATCCTGCGAACGGGATCGTGGATGCGCATTGCTGAGGAGTCCCAAAATAGGACAAAACGGCCATCCAGTGCTTCCAGGTTTTCTATGGTGGTCTAACTTCAATCGACTCATGATCTCAGTCAGAAATCTTATCGCAATATTTATACAGTTGAAAAATAGGTAGTGCAAACGTTTGAGCAGTCCATCATTTTATCAAAAGGTTAGGAATACGAATATTCCCATGAATATAAAAAAAGCGACTGATCAACCTAATTAATGTTTGCGTATAAGGACGTAAGTTAAATTTATTTATTGAAAGTTAATGAGTGAACACATGACAAGTCGAGTTCTTAATCTAATGTCAAGAGTTAAGGTTCAGTAACAGACAAACAATGCAAAGTCTCGCATAGTTGGGGTAGTAGTACTACTACACTACACTTCACTTGAGAACAAAAATGGTGAGATAAAGTAGGTGTCTAATAATAGTGGGACTATGCAACTGTTAAAACTTCATGATTAATAGCTTAAATATGAGGTGACTTTTTGCAATCCTCAATAATTTGTTCTGTTCTATAAAATCGATAATCAATGTAAGGTATAAATTGTCTGAAATCAATCTCTTTTTATTCACGGAAACACTTATTTTTCTTTTGTTCTTCTCTTCAGTGTATTGATGTAAGCACTATGTTAGCTGAAGCTATCCGTCGAACACATAATGGTGAATCTGTCTCCTATCTATTTAATCATGTCCCTTTGTAACAACAACAATAATAATCCTGAATCAATCACCTCCCATATGACAAAATAAGTGACAAACTAGAAAAGATTGTTTTCTTTATCACTATCCACTTTATATTTGTATTTTCAGCATGTTAAGATTTTTTTCTTTCGAAAACTTCTATATTTTCTAGTCTTGTTCCATTTAATCTAATGTATTTTGTTCATCGAACTATTCCATATTGAAATATCTTTATTCATCATTAAATGCTTCGAATGCCGTTTGTTTTTTTCTTGTAACAGAAAATAATTGATTTACCTTTAACGTGATTAGTTTTGATTTGGTTTGGTTTGATTGTTTGTTTTTTATCCTCCTTTTTTCTTTTTAGAGAATCCAATAGTCTTCTTTTAAAGTCTTTTGTAATATATTCTGTTGTTCGTATACGTAATTAATATTATTAATTGTAATCTGTCGAAAACATAACCTTGTAATCCTGAATAGATCCGCGATTGGAGGCAACAAACTATTGTGAACAGCTGACTGAATTGTATTAAGTTTTTGATTGAGATCATGAACCGATTGGTGTTAGACCACCATTGAAAACCTGGAAGCACTGGACGGTCGTTTCATCCTATTGTGGGACTTGACCAGTGGAGCTAATGTATGTCAGGTAGAGGCAGGTATCTACCTAAGTACAATGGGAGATGGTCGCGCAATTTCTTGGATTGGCTAATGTTAGACATTAATACCGTTGGATGCCGGCCATCTTAGTGGTCTAGAGGTTAAGCGTTTGCGTGCGAGACCGAAGGCCCTGGGTTAGAATCCCGTGAGCGGGAGGAGTCTCACAGTGCTTCCAGGTTTTCAATGGTGATCTAACATCAATTGGTTTATGATCTCAATCAAAAACTTAATAATCTCCACAATCCTATACTGATGAATTTTATTAAATTTGAGACTGATGGACAGTAATATGCAAAGGTTTTACTTACCATTAGAAGCACTGTAACATCTATGATTGCTGTCACGTAGCCCGATCCTCTTTAAAAGTGTTCATTCTTGTTGTTTAGCTTTTACATACGTTTTCAAGACAATGGGTTTCTTATGAAGGTTATTTAACTAGCACTAAATATTCCCGATATTTTTCCGGTGAATTTCAGGTCATTTTAAAGTATCTGATCATTTAACCTTTTCGTTCTGATTCCAATTATATTTATGACAGTTGGCCAAAACGTTTTAAGTGAATTCGTATATGCCCATTATAATTTTCAATGATCATTAAGAAGTTATGTTCAAGTAAATAAGTTTGATCCAACCTTTGGGTATAATAAAAGTAAAATGAGTTTTTAAATAGCTGCTTCATATAAACTTGAAGCTAGAATTAAGTTTATAGTCAAACTTAGATTAATCATGTTCCCTCATAGCGAAGGAAATCATTGCCAATCTATCTGAAGTTTGGTGGTGTTTTCCTAATATATTAGTATTAAAGCCCCCTTGTATCAATATTCATGTGGTAAAATAAATACATGGGATCACAGCTCTCTGCCCTGGTACGGCCGAGGGTGAGGAGAGTTAGTTCTCTCTCTTGAAGTGCTCCCACATGCCATGCGTATACAGCCACTGTCAGGAAATTCCAACTCACTGCCTTCTCACGGCGGGGGCGTTGTTTACGAAATTGTGAAGAAGAAAAACGAATATTTAGCTCTTTAACCGGGAGTTGGAAAACCCTGACCCCTAACCAATGGTGCACATTGGCTCTAGTAACCTGAAGGAACAAATGGCGTATGAATCGATCGTTGGTCACTGGCTACCATGACGTTGCTCCAATGCCTTGTGGATTAGACTTTTAGGTCGAAGGCTCCGGGTATGGCCCCCTAAGAAAACCACCTGTTTCTGTCTGGGCATGCGGGCAGTATCACAGCCCACACATAAATCGTGTGACTTGTGTGTCACATATGTATTCGGTGCTCCTTTTCTACAATACTTATATGTTCATATAATATATAAAAAAATATATATATGAAAGTGTGAGCTGATTTCTGTTTTCAGCACAACCATTAACAATCAAAACGTTAGTCAGGTGAACTGACCGAATCGTTTCTTTGCGAAAAGCCAACTTATTTCATTGAACTGTTATCCTTCATTTACAGAATGAATCAGATGAGCAAACCCAATGCAATAATAAGACCGATTAGCTTGTACTCCGATAAGGTTGATTCACACTCGTCAATTATACGCTTGTTATCAGAAGGGGTTTTGTGGAGATATTAGTAATTTTATAGTTGAATTCATGAGTCGATTGAAGCTAAACCACCATGGAAAACCTGTAAGCAGTGGACGGCCGTTTCGTTCTATTGTGAGACTCCTCTGTGGTGCGCATCCACGACCCCGCCCGCGAGATTAAACATTGTATTCCATGAGATAGTAACTTACTGAAGACAATGGTGGACGGTGGCTCATTTTCGTCGATTGGTTGAAGTTAGATATTAACATCGTTGGATACTACTCAGTGGTCCAGAGGTTAGGCGTTTGCGCCCGAGACTGGTAGGTCCTGGGTTCGAATCCCGCGGGGCGGGATCATGGATGCGCACTGCTGAGAGGTCCCACAATAGGACGAAAAGGTCGTCCTCGTTTTCCATGGTGGTCTAGCTTCAGTCGACTCACAAATTCAATTATACGATTATTAATATTGTAGTGAACGAGAACACAAATGAGGACAACCAAATGTAATTGAATTCAAAATTACAGAATATCTTAGTAGAACCTGAGAACCATACAATAAATGCTTCGTTTGTAAAATGTCGATCAAGCGTCTTAGACTCCATTGTTTCTTCATTTCCACACCAATCATTCTCTTTTCTTCGACCTTCTTCCGTCAGACATTTCACTTTCGGTTGGTGATACATATTACTTATATCTGTCAACATCAGTAGTACACCTCTCACAATTAACGATCATTTTTGGACCTTATTCCTTTCTTATCCATCATTATTTTGTGAATATTATAATTGTTTTGAGGTAAGATTGTTGTCATTGCTAAATGGTAAGTTTTCATTATATGAAGTTGTTCCTTTCATTTTCTACATATTACTTACTTACGCCTGTTACTCCTCGTGAAGGAGCATAGGCCACTCACCAGCATTCTCCATCCAACCCTGTCCTGGGCAATCCTTTCCAGCTCCGTCCAGTTGTAATTCATCCTTTTCATATCTGCTTCTATTATCCGACGCAATGTGTTCTTTGGCCTTCCTCTTTTTCGCTTCCCTTCAGGATTCCAAGTTAGGGCTTGCCTCGTGATGCAGTTTGACGATTTGCGTAATGTATGCCCTATCCATTTCCATCGTCTTTTCCTAATTTCTTCTTCAGCTGGAAGTTGGTTTGTTCTCTCCCACAGTAGGCTATTGCTGATGGTATCCGGCCAGTGGATGTTGAGTATTTTGCGTAGACAGCTATTTATAAATACTTGTACTTTCTTGATTGTGGTTGTTGTAGTTCTCCAAGTTTCAGCTCCATACAGTAGAACTGCCTTGACGTTCGTATTGAAGATTCTCACTTTGATATTGGTTGAAAGTTGTTTTGAGTTCCATATGTTCTTCAATTGTAGGAATGCGACTCTTGCTTTGCCGATCCTCGCCTTTACGTCTGCATCTGAACCTCCTTGTTCATCGATGATGCTTCCCAGGTATGTGAAGGACTCTACATCTTCCAGAAATTCGCCATCAAGAGTGATTGAATTGCTGTTCTCCGCCTTGAATTTGAGGACCTTGGTTTTCCCTTTGTGTATGCTGAGGCCTACTGATGCAGAGACTGCTGCTACACTGGCTGTCTTCATCTGCATCTGTTCGTGTGTACGTGATAGGAGGGCTAGGTCGTCTGCGAAGTCCAAATCGTCTAATTTTCTACATACCCCGTTAAATAAATTTCCACTATTCTACAATAAGTCCGTTCTTTTGAACTAACATATATATCCATATACATCGTATATTTTACGAAATCGAGAGGACGAAAAGCGAATGTCCGGTGCTTTAACGGAGTTGGTAGTGTTGGAAATCCCTGATTCCAAACCAATAGTGCACATGGGCTTCAGTATCCTGAAGGAACAAGTGGCATCTGAACCAATTGTTGGTCACCGACTAACATGGAACTGCATCTTCTGATATTGCTCCACTCCCTTTTGGATTAGACCTTTAAGTCGAAGGCATCGGGTGTGGCCCCCTAAGAAAACCACCTGTTTCTGTCTGGGCACCCGGACAGTATCCTAGTCCTCACATAAATCGAACGAATTATGTGGCTCATATGTTTTCGATGCTCGTTTGTACCAATATTTATGTGTTTAAATAAATAAAATGAGATCTTTAAGGTTGTTAACTTTGTCCGTTTATATTAATGGCCGCATTTGTCAATGTATTTTCTATTAGTAAATTATAACTTCTAGTAGTATCGGATTATTTATTTATTTTATTTCAACACATAGATATTGGCACAAAGAGGCACCAAATACATATGCGCCACACAAATCTCATTCGATATGTGTGAGGGCTGTGATACTGCCCGGGTGCCCAAACCGAAGCAGGTGGTTTTCTTAGAAGGCCACACTCGGAGCCTTCGACCTGAAGGTCTGAACCACAAGGCAGTGTAGCATCATCAGGAGATGCAGTCCCATGGAAGCCAATGACCAACAATTGGTTCATACGCCATTTGTTCCCACAGGATACTGGAGCCCATGTGCACCATTGGTTTGGATTAATAATGCATTCATCTTATAATTTTTGTACACTTATTTTCTTTTTCTTTTTTTTCTCCTGTACATCCATATAACTTTTCAGTGATTTGTTTATATCATGACTGATGAAGAATCAATTGATTTGATTGCTTCAAAAATTCATCTTCTACAAAGATCTCAATTTATTAATCTACCATTGTTACCATTATTACTATTATCGGATTTTAATTCATCATCAGTTCAGAATAACTTATCAACCTCTAAAAATTATGCAAATCCTTCTACTATTACTACAAATCCTCCTACACCTCCTCCTCGTCCTACAACTTTTACTATGAATAGTAATAAAGATGTGGAGAAAAACAAATCTTCACTAAGAAATTCCAATCATACAAATGATTGGTCTAGATTAAATAATATATCTGATACAAAGGTAAGTTGAAAGTTATTAGTAACTTATTTTTAAAGTTGATATAGTTTTAGTTAACTTGAATAAGTTGAGTAACTTATAAAGTAATAAATAAATTTTAGAGAGTCATCGATGAATAACTAGATAACTAAAGAGTAAGCCTTCATCTAATGTAATTTACATATTTTCAAAATGATGAATGATTGATTTCAATCGTCATTTTATGACGTTCTTAAATGAACTTGTTTAACCTCACAAGTCATCATATTTCATTGTCAGTTATGCAATCGAATCTGAACTAAACTAACAGTCATTGTTCGATTATTGCTCATTTTTCATAATAGAGTTACTCATTTTAGATTCAACCTAACAAATTATTTTGAAGTTACTTAGTTGAATATATAACCCACTGCTAATTAGTGCTTTGTTTTAAGAGTACAACAAACATACTGAGTGTTCATTGATAGAGGTAAAGCAGAAATGTGTTGATCAGTATGTTTAATATATTTCCATCTCCCATCTTACAAAGGTGAGTAAAATAGACGTAGATTAACTATTGGTACATCAAGAAATGTTGTCAGTTCATAAAGTATCTTTTTTTCTTGGAACTGTGTACTCATTTAATATTCAATAAATCTAGCGAAATAACTAAATGAATGAATATGTTTAGTTAAGATTTATATATGTCAGTGAAAGAAATTATAAATCAGAATCGATAAGATTAACTGAAATGCATTATTTACCAGAAACTCCTCCGGGGGCTACTGCCGGTCCTAAGCCCGGATAAAGGAGGAGGGTTGGGCATAGGGTTAGCGACCCCATCCCGTAGAAAACTAACTTACTAAAAAAACGCTAACCAGAAATTATTTACCAGAATCTGTATATAATACAAATTCTGTCAATGTAATCTTTCTATGAAACGTTATCATATAAGTCATTTGATAAGATTAAATTTTCTAATTTCAATACTTTGATTAATTCAAATGTGTCGTTTACTATCTTTTTGTAACATAATAGAAAATTACCACCATCAACGAATCACTTGGATTTACTATTTTCTCAGTACTATAAGTTTATGTATCTCTTATCCTGTTTTTTTTTCCTGTTCTTACAGTGTGAAAAATTAGTGTTGTATTTATTGTCATTGCTTTTTTATTGCACATGGTTCTATGTTACTTTGTATTCTAAGCATTAGACTACTTTCAGAGGTTTGGGCGCCCGAGCAGTATTTCAGCCCTCACATATATCGATTGATTTATGTGGAGCATATGTATTTGGCACCTTCTTGTATCAATGTTTATGTGTTTAAGCAAATAATACTTTCAGCATCAGGTTTAAATACGTTACAATTAGTTCTATGGACCAGAATATACTAGATAGTTCTGCGTAGATGGTTCAGACAACGAGTAAGAAGTCTCATGACCGATACCAAAATCGTACTAAAAAATTCCCCTAGAGGTATCTGAGGTAAAGTAATTCCTAAAAACAGAATGAAGCGTTAGAAATCCCCGGTAAATAAATAACCCAACTTTTAGCTCCGTAGATTTCTGTTTTCTCCAGCACTGTTTTTAAAGTACAGAGTTGATACAAACAGAAACGGGTCCTCACACTTTGAAGAATCTTTCTTTCGTTTCTGAAGAACTACGTCACTATAATATGTGAAGCCAGGATCTGTTGATCCCAGCTTGTATTCAAAGCCACCCGAGTTGATTGTTGTTATGGTAGGCGGTGTTCGAGATCTGATACTGATACGTGTACCCCCGAACTGATTACTTAAGCGAGAAGACAAGAGTGGAAGAAAAAGTGTATTGGGTTACCGAACAAATATGCATAAACATATATATTTCCACCCTTTAAAAAGTCAATACACTTCCTAGCCAATGATATGTATCTGTCCTTTCAGTCATCTCTGAATGTCATCAAGTGACCCTGTCTGGCTACTTCTGATTGGCTCACTACATAACCTTTCTCTCTTGAAAAATTTAGTCCTCCCTTCGGCGTTGAGGGAGCAACGTTCAGTTGTCCTTACCTCTGATTCATAATCTGGCTTTCTTCTCTCTGGATACATGGCGTCACGTGAAGTCTGAGTCTCTTTCGAACATTGATATGGCTGGCGATACATCCTTGAGTGGGGCTGTGTACAGGATTATTCCGGGTGGTTTTCTCCATCATTCCCTCCCCTTGTGATAATTTTGAAAATCACTGGAAACTTCTGCTTCCATTTGTGCATAATATGAAAATAGGAAGATATTTGATTATAAGATCAGATGACTGGTCAGACGTTTTTAAATCTGTGATCCAGTCGAGGCCCAATCAATAGATTGAAAGATTCATCGGTAATCTAACATCTAGATTTGATTATCAGATCATTAATTTTGACTGTACATTTGATAATTCCAGAAATTTCGATTGGGATACCTGATGCATTCTTTATGCAATCATTAATAGGATGGATGCTTGGTCAATAAAGTTTTGCGAGAAATCGAAGCAACATTGAATACAGTATCCAAGTGCAGTGTGATAATTCAATCATTAACATTGGTGGACACATAATTGTATAAGCATTTAGGGTTGGGTTTCAATAAAACATGTACAAAATTGATTCTTTTTAACATTCGATGATGTGATGAGGGTTCCCTGCGTTTGTGAAATTCCTCCCTATGACCGGTTACCCCACATTTTGAGCATTAATGATTATTGAATTGGCAGGAACGGGAGAAATGCCATGCCTCACATTTTCAACATCTATTGAGAGGCCATGTAGAGAGACGTGAATTAGAGTCATAGACATTATACATTAGATTCGGGCGAGGAAAATTTCGCGAATCATGCTTTACGACATTAATAGTGCGATCTGAATGAGAAATTCTCATCAATTCAAGTGAATTGGGATTTAAACACCCTATCATTTTAGTATCATTCTTAAGTTTAATAATATGACAACATGCATTTGTATTATCTTTCGACGTAAGAATGAAATCTGACTGGACTTTGGTTAATATTTTAGTACGGTTATCTCAATCTGAAGGTGATCGCAATTTGTATACAGCCATAAGGCACTTAAATTCGTCGTCTGAAAGTGTATATAACCTGAAATTCTCTCATTGATTATTAAGAAATGCTGGTCGGCGGTCTATGCTCCATTGGGAGTAACAGGCGGAAGTAAGTGCATATGAAACAAAATCATCTTCAGATCTCTTAACTGTTTAAAGAGAATCATATCGCAAATTAAAAGAGGAATCGTAGGGTTTTTCGGTTAGATAAAGTTCGAATATTTTTCATGCTCGATTACTCCAAGCTTACGAAATGAGTCATCATGATGAAAAAACTCAACTTGTAAAATATTTTCATAACTATTTGAACCATGATTCAACTGTGACACTAGCATTAGGATCAAAATGAAACTCGTTCATTGAATCGATCAGTGATTTTGTAGTTGAACCCCTTAATTCGGATACTTGTACTAAATCTTCTTGAATTGTCAACTTTTAAGCCATCACTTCGATCATTTTCAATTGTGATGCTTGAAATTCTTTTTACTACTGCTGCAAAATAGATTTAAACTGATCTGCTGAAATTGACATTCTGATAAAACAAGCTAATCCATAAACTAACCTAAATATTAACCCTGAAATATGTTCTGAAAAGAACTGTCAGTTGACCAATTAATTGACTATCTTGAACAGATTAAGCTTAATCAATATTAAAGCTGTTTATTTATTATTAAACAATTTCTCGTTATTTTTCCATCCATTAAAGGAACGTAGTTTCTTTCGACGTTTACTTATGTCCTATTGGTGTCCTAGACCTATAAATGGAGCTCAAATGTTACTCGAAGAATTAAAATATTCCTATTGTTTCTCTACTGGAATTGACAAGTTAGTATTAATTCTTCATAATGTTATACCGCAGCTTTATTTGAACGTTGTAATTGAAATGTGCCGCTATATTTGTTGTATAATTTTAAAAAAGGAACTTATTACATCATAAGAAGGATATTGAAGGTTGTTCATCAATGAAAGGTTTACAGTTAGTGTTACCATACATTCATACTAGTATCTATTACACATATTATATATATCGAAAAGATATTATTAATTTCAGAAGGGGTTTTGTGAATGTTATAATAATTTCAATAGTTGAGATCATGAGTCAATTGAAGGTAGACCACCATAGAAAACCGGAAAGTACTGAATGACCGTTTCGTCCTATTGTTGGATTCCTCAGCAGTGCGCATCCACGATCCCACCTCGCGAGATTCCATGGTGGTCTAGATTCAATTGAGTCATGATCTCAAATATTAAATGCATTACTAATTGTTTGATTTTAAAATCCTTTAGCAGATCAAGAAGCATAGAACCAAGTAAGATGAGATTTATTAATATGTAAAAATTAATACAGTTATTTGTGTCCTCTTGATAAGTATATAAAAGATGGAGGGAGATATTGACAGGTAGATAAGCTGATTATAAGCGGGAGCTAAGACCTTAGTGAATCTTTCAGATTCATTACTATTCATCTCACTATTCCTACATAAATATTGTTGATATTCAGCCACATTTATTTATTTGGACACATAAATATTTGTACAAAGGTGCACCCAATACATATGCGACACACAAGTAAGTTACCTGATTTGTGTGTAGGCTGTGATACTGCCCAGGTGCCCGGACCGAAACAGATGGTTTCCTTAGGGGGCCACACCTGGAGCCTTCGACCTAAAGGTCTCATCCACAAGGCAGTAGAGCAACGTCAGGAGATGCAGTCCCATGATAGCCGGTGACCAATAATTGATTCATACGCCATTTGTTCCTTCAGGATACTGGAGCCCATGTGCACCATTGGTTTGGAATCAGGGTTTTCCAACCCCTCTCGATGGATCCTCCTTATTCATCAATCCGGTAAAATCGCTGGGCATTCGCTTTCCATCCTCTCAGTTTTGTAAGCAACAAGACTTTTCTACAATTTCACTAATGATTGTGTAATCTATCAAATTTCTTGCAAGTCTCAATTTATTTATTATCCGACCATTACTGCTGCCTTGATGTGGTGGTGGGCTTGCTTATCGTGTTGAATATATCAACATCTCTATCCTTTACCCAACGTCTGCGTCAAATCAAGCATATATGATTTCTGAATAGAAGTAATCGTATTATGGCCCATAATAACTTAGTATACTTATGTATTGCTTTGATTTTAGTGATTTTTCTCTAATCTCAATGAATCTTAATCGTCTTCGTTTATGACAAAATAAAAGTTTAGAAGCATTTTATTCTTTAATAATCAAGTATTGATTGTGCATTCATATTTAAAAAAAACCCAGCTTGGACAATCTTCTTAATGGAGGTTTAAGAACCAGTGAAATTACAGAAATAATCGGTAAATCTTCTTGTGGGAAAACTCAAGTAAGTTGTGATTGTATGTTTGTATTTGTGTTTTTAAAATATTCCGAATAATAATCCTGTTCAATTATTATTATTTATTTATTTGAACACAAATACTGGTACAAGGGGGCACCAGATACATATGCGCCACACAAATCAAATGAAATTTGTGTGGGGGTTGTGATACTGCACGGGTGCCCGGACCGAAGCAGGTGGTTTTCTTAAGGGACCACACCCGGAGCCTTCGACCTAAAGGTCTGATTTACAAGGCAGTAGAGCAACGTCAGGAGATGCAGTCCCATGATAACCGGTGACCAACGATTGGTTCGGACGCCACTTGTTCCTTCAGGATACTGGAGACCATATGCACCATTGGTTTGGAATCAGGCTTTTTCAACTCCCCTAGGTGGACTCTCCGTGTGCACCAACCCGATTAAAGCGCCGGACTTTCGCTTTTCGTCCTCTCAATTTAATAAACAGCACATCCGCCACGAGAAAGCAGTGAGTAGGGCATCATTAACACAGGCTATATTCACTTGGCCGTGTGAAAGCATTTCGAGAGGGAGAGCGGACTCTCCCCACTCTCGACCGTACCAGGGCGTTTGGGTCATCGTCTCTCGGTGTTTCTGAATGGCACCAACCAAAGAGACTGCTCGTAAATCAACCGGAGGTGGGGCCCCTCGAAAACAGCTGGTCACCAAGGCTGCGCGCAAAAGTGCCCAAGCTACCGGGGCGTGAAAAAGCCACACAGGTACAGACCTGGGACCGTTGTCCCCCGAGAAATCCGTCGTTACCAGAAGAGTATCCTGTCTACAGCACTTAACTTCTTAATTCGAGAATAGGCAAATAATCTTGACTAGCATACTATATTGTTTGACAAGATAAAGGATTTAGTTTTGTTTAACTGTGGAATTCTTAATATATTTTGTTTTGTTTTAAAATTATTATTTGACTATTATCACTCCTAGGATTCGTCACTTTAAATGCTATATCATAACTTGTCATGAAATGATTACTTACTTGCGCCTGTTACTCCCAATGGAGCATAGGCCGCTGACCACTATTCTCCAACCTTTTATGTCCTGGACCTTCCTTTCTAGTTCTATCCATTTGTTGGTCACTCTTTTTGTGAACATAAAGAAGGTCATTACCCACCGAATCGTACGCCTCAGCCCAAGAATAAGCGTAAACGTCCTCGACGCACCAGATCCTACGAATCTGCTCAAAGGGGAGGTGTTAGCGGACATAGGTTGGGCTAAAGCATGCTCATTGCACGATTGCTTTGGTACACGCTGACTGGCCAATTTTTATCCAATCAGCGTTAGTCGATACTGGAGAACACTCTAGAATCCTCCTCATGTAAAAACTATGAATATACTAACGTTTTTCCTACTGTGCTTCTTACTTCCATCTACCCTTGTTATTTGGAATATAGTTACTTTCCTGTTTAACCGTGTTCTGATTTGGGGACTTGCTGAGTGAATTGGTGTCCGAGATACTAAGCAATAGGAATAGCTGGGTTGTAATAAGAGAGAATTATAACACTTTTCATGTTTGTTTCCGTTTCTCAGCGTAATGTGTTCTTTGGTATTCCTCTTCTCGTTTGACCCTGAGGATTCCAAGCGAGGGCTTGCCTTGTGACGTAGTTGGATGCTTCTTCAATGTGCATTCTATTCACTTCCAGCGCTTCCTTCTGATTTCTTCCTCCGCTGGAATCTGGTTTGTTCTCTCTCACAGTAGGTTGTCACTGATATAGAGTATCTGGCCAACGGATCCGAAGTATTTTGCGTGGGCAACTGTTAATAAACACTTGTATCTTCTAGATGATGGTTTTCACAGTTCTCCAATTTTCCACCCCATACAGTAGAACTGTTTTGACATCTGTACATTTGCACGCGATTGAAATGTCCATCAGATTCGGAAAGTAATTTTAAAGAAATATGCTTTAAAGCAGGTTTTTCAACAAAAATACATATAACACTGAATAGGGTATAGCAGCTCATGTGCAATTGAGTTTGTTCACATTTCATTTAGTTAAGCCCTTTATTTAACTTATTTAACTGACAGAGTCATTCTTAAAAATAACAACTTGTCTATACTGTTATAATTCTCTTATTACAACCCAGCTATTCCTATTGCTTAGTAATCTCGGACACCAATTCACTCAGCAAGTCCCCAAATCAGAACACGGTTAAACAGGAAAGTAACTATATTCCAAATAACAAGGGTAGATGGAAGTAAGAAGCACAGTAGGAAAAACGTTAGTATATTCATAGTTTTTACATGAGGAGGATTCTAGAGTGTTCTCCAGGTATCGACTAGCGCTGATTGGTTAAGAAACAATCATCAGCGTACACCAACATGCTTTATTCCAATCTGTGTCACGCTAACATATACCATTGTACTTTTATTATTGTTGAACTTGTATGAATATGTATGCTCGAGCATTGCTTACTGCTTACGGATATATTCATTCTGCTAACCTTACTTGAGTCAAGTAAGGTATGTTTATGTACATTTTAATCATGTTCATTGACTCGCTTGTCCGCTTGATTTTCGGCACTACTCTTTCATGCTTGCTTAGCGTACCTGTAATTTTGGTGATCAGTGCGTATGCAATAATAAACTTAATCAACACTTCGTACTTGCCTTCTGATTATTACACCGTTGGGTTGTTATCTAGTGAAGGTTATCAGGACGAACTGTATACGAAGTCTAAGGATTATATTGAATACTGACCACCACTACAATCGATTTTAATGAAAATAAAATTGAAGCGTATTGGCATTAAATTTCAACCTAGTAAGATTTGAGTTGACTAACTCACTACGTAAAGTTGTGTAAATGACTACTGCAAGCTAAAAGTTACTGGACAACTAGTTCTTCTAGTTAGTGTCTTTTCACCCATTGCATATCTGCTCAAGATAATAACTTCTAGTCTCATTATCAAATCCAAGTATCCTGGCTGGTTAACGAAGATACAATGAAGTTATAAAACAGACATAACTGCAAATTCAAATTGATTGTTTACTATTCACAACAAATCCTAGAAATAAAACTCATTACAAATCTGTGAAGTGACATTCATTTCGAGTCTATTAACTAATACCGAAATCCAGAGATTTGAACGACACCAGCATTTCGAAATGTTAATGTAACAATTAATTCAGAACGTCTGTTAGAAAGAGGTCAAATGTAATAAGAATTGTTTGTAAAGAGTTATTTATTTCATTCTTTTATCCTAATACCTTCGTCCCCAAGTAATAATAGTAATCAGATGTTTAAAGTACCTACCATGGAAATTGGCATATTGGCGTTGTGAAATATTTTTATTTTATTTTATTTGAACACATATATATTGGTACAGGAGTGCGCCAAACATATATGCGCCACACAATTTCAGTTCATTAATTGCGCGTGGGCTGCGTTACTGCCCGGGTGCCCAGACCGAAGCAGGTGGTTCTCTTAGGGGGCCACTCCCCGAGCCTTCGACCTGAAGGTCTAATCCACAAGGCAGTGGAGCATAGTAAGGAGATGCAGTCTCATGGAAGCCGGTGACCAACGATTGGTTCATACGCCATTTGTTCCCGCACGATACTGGAGCCCATGTGCACCATTGGTTTGGAATCCGGTTAAAGCGCCGGACATTCGCTTTTCGTCCTCTCATTTTCGTAAACAACAGTAACGCCACGAGAAGGCAGTGAGTAGGACTTCCCTGGCAGAGGCTGTATACGCGCGGCCGTGTGAGAGTATTTCGAGAGGAAGGGCGAACCCACCCCGCTCTCGGCCATACCAGGGCGTTTGGAGGCGTTGTGAAATATGGATTTCTGATGAATGTTATGATGATGATACAGTAGTTAGTTTATTGTTTTTTACTCACCTTTATTATCGTCAGAATCATTGTTTCTAAGGGTATCTGTTGAGAACAAACCTGCTAGGCATTTCAGGTGAATTGATTAGACAGTCAATAAGTTATTTTTCTGCAATTTATTACAGCTCATGGGTTATATGTTCACCTATTAACTACTTGGTCACTAAATCCTACCTATTTTAATTAGCTGAAAAGAAAGTTTTTTGCAGCTTTAAGTACAGTCTCAAAATGATAGCTTTTCTAACAACTATTCAATTATACTGTATGTTGGTCTCGAACTGTTTATCTTATCGTTGTTTTTGTCTGTTTTATTTCAGTTCTGCCTTTCTGTATGTGCTTCTGTACTTCGAAATTATAAAACTGTGTCCATCATCTATCTGGATACAAAGGGTGATTTTATTGCAGATAGATTACTAGAATATCTTAAAAAGCAAAATCTCAAACACGCTAATGTGCCGACGAATGCAGCAACAAAAGATGAATATGGAACTTCCAATGTTCCAAACCATGTGAGTTTTCATGAAACTAATTTTAAAAAATTAGTCCTATGATGAATTTAGATAATGCAATGAGAAGATTTAGGTTATCAGTACTATATGACCTTTTTAACTAAAGACTAAAAAATGTGTGTCTTTATATCCAGTGCGTGGATGATAGCACAGTCTTAAGTGACGTACATGAAGATGTGAACTCCCTGTTAATGAAACAATACAATTCGAATGCATATCAGCTTTGGTGCTTGTTACTGTCGCCGTACTGACCAAACGATATGTACGCTAATGAAATCCTGTGTATTTCGTATATGTTCTGTTGACAAATGACGTTGATACAACGAAGATAATAAAAGTCAAACATGAACTGTATTTAGGATACGTATATTTAAGGCACGCTTATACTGAACAGTAAATAAAAAGTACAGCGATTGTATAAAGCATTAAAGCTCGGTAATACGCTAAATTCACGAATAAATGGATGACTATAAATTATTTAGGAAGTACAGGAAGTGTATAGAACCATACCTACTATCATTCACACAAGGTTATACGTGAGGGATTAGCAAAGTTGAGCATATGACTGACATAATGACTGGAAGAATCAGAATAATTTGTTTGTTCACAAGCTAAAACAAATCGTATAGGCGTTATAACGCGAAAAATCCTACATAATCTTTCATTTTAGGAGCAGATGAATAACCACTAAGCTCATCATCTTGGACATATTAATTAATAGAGACAATAGCTCTACCAAACATTTTATTCATAGAAAGCCTGTATGGATAGGACTGTATGTAGGCTTTTATAATTGCTGTCCAGTCCAATACAAACAAAGTTTGATAAAGTATTTCGACCATATTTGCCCTAGGGACACTATTGAGGAAGAAGTGAAGCTTCTCATCAAAATATGTAAATGAATACACACTAAAGCTCATTAATTGTTGGAGGGGAACAGCAATATGATTGAACTCACTACTCCTTTAGCACTCAATAAACGTGTCTATATTACCTCATTATTCAATGGTGACTCAAATAGTCTTATGTTAAAACGAAGACTTCAATTAATGATCAACAAAACTTTTCACTCCAACTCACTCTATCATTATCTAAAAGTCAAGGTCTACGCTTTACCAAAATCCTAGACAGTATGTAAATGAGTATGTTATATCCCACTGTTTCTATGTATACACATAAACATAAGGACAAAGAATCGTGATCTACACGTAAGGGTGGTCGATCCTATACCTAAATGGCTACCAAAGCAATCAAATTATAATTGTCTAATTAGACCACAAAATAAAGTCATAAGGTTTCTATCAATTCAACCTTCCTAGTGTTGTATAAGAGTGTCCAGGGATGTATATTAATGTTTGTTGTATATTTAGCCATATGACGATACCAATCGCCTTTATGTGTTTTAAAACAATTCGCACCTTGAACGTAGACTGAACTTCTTACCTAGTGTAATGTGATTCACAATATTTCTCTTATGTACCGATTAGATTTGAGACACTGAAGCTCACCAACGATAAAATAATCAACTTCTTTAAAATTTGATAACAAAGGGTAGCTGCTATCTTGACATTGTGGTCCGGCTTGTGTATCGTGTTGACCCAACCGAGCTATATTGGCTGGAACATATGTTCCTGCAGGTACTACCATGCCAGGCAGGTCGATTGGAGAACGGTAACACTAAAAGCAGCAACTCATGTCATACACTGACCACCTCTCCGCTTTCTCCAACCAGTCCCAGAGTCGGCAAATAATGCACGACGTGGAATTCTCTGGGACGACATTCGTAGAACATGTCCAAGCCACCGAAGTCGATGTTTCAAGATGGTGACACCAATTGAATTATCGTCTCTGTGCCCGAACACACGATGCCGAACCTCTGCATTACTAACATGGTGTTGCCACTGAATGTCAGCAATCCTTCGGAGACAACGATGATCAAACACAGAGAGTCGTCTAACATCCTCAACTCGGAGAGGCCAGGTTTCACAAGCATAGAGCAAAACTGCTCTCACCGACGCGTTGTAGATCCGATCTTTTACAGCCAGACTAACATCACGAAGGCGCCAAAGGTGGCCCAGATTGGCATAAGCCGCTCTGGCTTTCACTATACGTGCATTGATCTCATCACTCACGCCACCACCAGCACTTATGCAGCTACCCAGATACACGAACTTCTCGACTACTTCTATCTGCTCACCATCCAGGGTGAGTACAGGATTGGAATCCTGCCAGTCTTGTAGAAGTACTTTGCACTTCGAAGGTGCAAAGCACATACCATACCTACGGACACTGATTGCCAACTGATTAAGTGCGGATTGCATGCCTTGGGCATTATCGCACAGTAAGACAATATCATCCGCATACTCAAGGTCGAGAAGTCTTTCTCCAGGCAACAGATCCACACCGCCATTACTTACATCCATCAGAGCTGTTTCCAGAATGTCGTGAAGATATGATCAATACATCCTCGACCAGAACGAAACCCAGCCTGCTCCTCGCGAGTCAATCATTCTCGGGTTTTGAACAACCTACGAAGTATGACGGAAGCCAACAGCTTGAACGCAATCGGAAGTAGACTTATCCCCCGATAGTTGTTGCAGGAACGAAGTGAACCCTTTTTAAAGATAGGGACAACTATCGACTCATTCCATGACGTTGGTACACTCTCTAGCTCCCAGACCTTTTTAAACAACGTCGTCAGTTCCTTAGTCAGAAAGTCACCACAATCTTTAGAAAGGGGGGAGGTAAGTCATCTGGGCCCAGTGATTTGTAGCGCTTCAAGAGTTGGAGTTCCTTGCGGACTTCCACCTCATTTGGTGGATCAGTAGTCATCGACCATGGAGGGCAGGACAGTCTGACCGATGTTGCCGAAGCAGCAGGCCAGTCGAACTGCCCTTCGAAAAATTCTGCCCATCGTACAAGACGTCGATGGATGTTAGTGATTGGCGTTCCGTCATCCTCGCAGATTGTTTCGCTCACATCAGACTTCTTGCTGCCAGTGGCTCGGATGAGTTGGAAGAGCTTCCGGTAATTATCAGATGCAGCTGTTGCTTCCAGCTCATTAACACGCTCCGACCACCAGGCTTCTTGGTTCTTACGCAAGTTTTGCACAATTTCATTGTGTAACAGTATTCATTTGTGAACAAATTCGTGGTCACCCGGAGTAGACCGACTAGCTTCAACAAGCTGTAAGGAGCCTAAAAAAACCTAGTGCTTATAAGCGGTATGTTTCGCGAAGCCGCAAGCGACTTCACTCGCCATTTACATAGTGCCACGCAATTGCAACCAATTCTCATCTATACTTTTCGGTGGAATGGTAGCTAGCCTAGAAACTAGCTCGGTTCGATACTTACTTGCAACAGAAGCTGAAACCAATTTACTGACATCGATCCGTATAGGATGAAGGTAAGATTACCACAAACAAGGGCATGGTCAGAGTACAGATAGATACTTCAAAAGGAGCAGTAGTCCTGCACCGGTCCAGACGTTCAGAACGATGGGCAAAACACTTTAACGAGCAGTTCAGCTGACCTTCAGTTACTCTACAACTACCCACTATGCTCAAACAGCCTGAATGGAACATTGAAGTAGGTTGGGGATGGAAGAAAGTCAGGGACGGCCAAAGCAAAACGTGGCATTATTTCTTGAAGTCGCTAAATTCTAGTCTGAGACATGTTGGTAGATACAAGCTACTTGGTTGGGGTCCGTGTAACTATCGTAACCAACGGTTGGAGACTCTGGATGACATAGCTCAGAATCGATCACAATCGCGTAGATGCAAACATTCTTTGTCTGTTCTTAAACAGTGAGATTAAAATTGCTTTATACCTTTCTTCCTACGAACTAATCCTTTCTTCCTGTATGATATCCTGATACACAATCTTTCATATATATATATTACCACCACTGAATTAACTACTTCTATGAATTTGGTGTTCGTCTTGCATTGCTAATGAGGTGTGGCAACTTGGACCGATGCATATGTGTGCCTGGTCCTACACTGAAACAGACAGTCTGACTGCAGTCATGTACACAACCACACCAACGATAGCTGATCGCGATGTGATCAATCTGAGTCCAGGCTTCAGATGCAGAGGGAGGACGCCAAGTGGCACATCGGCGATGACTGTGCCAGTAGCTAGCTCTAGCCGGAAATAGGTTGTGATCTGCGCACAGTTGCAGTAGATGGTCACCGTTATCTGACCTGCGACCAACAAGTCCTCATCGGCCCAACTCTCTTCCGTGCCTAGACACCTGATCTGTGCCTTCAAGTTTCCCATTGGTACTACAATATCTGTCGGATGTATTTTCTACAGAACAACACTTAACAGGTGGTAGGACTTATCTTTGATCGCATTCGGCTTGCAATATGTCGGAGTGTATGCAGAGATGACGAAAGCACATCATTTCTCATACTGATTTCTACTCACTTTGATGGAGCTTTCTAGTTTAACAGCACATAACCGACTGTCATTAGGAATCCAATCATTCAGTGCTGCCTCAGCTCTAGCGCTTAATGAAACACCAACGCCAGCAAAACCAGACGAAGATACCACAGGGTCCCCAGATAAACTCACGTGAAGCAAGCTCTTCGAAGTGACAGATGGAAAGTGAACTTGCAGTACTTTAGTAGAGTCTTGAATAAGGGTCTCGGATAGACATCAGACGCCGATATTAAAACTTTCTAAAGACATAGCCAGCCTTATCTGTTGTCCGACCTGCATAAGTGTGCGAACTTTGTAGGCAGACAGTTTGGATGGTGCATGTGGTTTCAAAAATCTGCTTCAGTATTCGTATTTGTTGGTAGCATACAATTCTCAACCAGTCAGTGACTCGAGAACGTTTAGATAAAACCGAGTCTCCACCATAGGCGAGCTGCTGTATAAGTCCAAAAATAAGGATACATACAGTGGGAATAAAAAAGAGTAAATAAATGACGTAGTAAATAATAATAATAATAATGTGAATTGTATGACTGTAAATCGAAGCGAGAATAGAATTTTCAGTAAATATAGCCATCTTCATTTTATTTGTGTGTGGGCTGTGATACTGCCCGCGTGCTCAGATCGAGGCAAGTGGTTTTCTTAGGGGATCACACCCCGAGCCATTGATCTAAACGTCTGACCCACAAGGCAGTGGAGCATCGTGAGGATTTTATTATTATTATTATAAATTTAATTAGTACTGATTCTACTTTACTATCGCATAATGAATTCATACAATAATTTGACTATACTATATAACTTAAATTGTAATTATAATAGCATTTCTCTTTCATCTTATTTTACAATTTCGAATGACCTATAAAACTGATTCAAATTATCATTATACACTATTCAGTTTAATAAATTCTAGTTAATTTTATCAACTATCTTAAATTGGTATACTGTAATGTTTAAAAGGCTTGTTAGCCTTAAATATGATTATCGTTTTACAATATGTTGTATTACATTTTATACAATTATATAAAGTCCCATATATAATGCTGATGAATTTTCTAGAGTGAATTGATGTTTATTTGTATTGAAAGGGGTTTTTTGTGTGGATATTATTGTAATTTTAATAGTTGATATCATGAGTCAGTTGAAACTAGACCACGATGGAAAACATGGAAGGACTGGACGACCGTTTCGTCTTATTGCGGGACTCCTCACCACTGCGCATCCACAATCCCACCTCGTGAGATTCGAACTCGGGACCTATCGATCTCGCTCGTGAACGCTTAACCTCTAGACTAGTGAGATGGCCGGCATCCAACCGTGTTAATGTCTAACTTCAACTAATCCATGAAATTGAGCGACACATCCATCATGGTCATCAATGAGTTACTATCTCACAACAGACCCGGTTGAACTTCACTGGTCACTGCTTCTCACTAGAACTCTAGGAAATAACTTTTGAAGCCAATCACTAGTAAGCATATGTTGATTAGTATCAGAAGGGGTTTTGTGGATATTATAGTAATTTTAAGAGATGAGATCATGAGCCAATTGAAGTTGGACAACCATGGATGATATTTATGCGAATATCCACATCTTTTGAAATACAGTATTCATCTAGACGATTTCTATATTGTTGTGTAAATATGTTCGCCATTCTACGGATTTATATTTTCAGCTAGCACTCAAATGTTGTCTGCTCCCCACCATAGTTAGCTAAACGTTCTTACCCTTATAAATAATCAACTAGTGTTCTGCACCTAATATTCAGATTACTCAACTGGTGGTGTCACCATACGTAAATAACGCTCCAAGCATATGTATAATCATTCACTTGGGATATAAACACTTATTCCACTTTTATTTGCAGTCTCATATGTACCGGGATTTCGGAGGTACTATTTGTCGTGACCATTTTAGGTTGACTGTTTACTAGAATCCAGTCAGGAATTCCACATTCTACTCTGGAACTCAATACTTTGGTCACACATCTCAAACGAAATGAAGTTACTGAGAAATCTCAGATACATGAAGAGTTAGGTGTTATGGTTCCTCATACTTGTTAAGCGAGATCAAATGAATGGCCATAATTTTGTGCTGCTTTCTGGCTTCACTTACACGGCATATATATCTATGTTAAGGAACTCTATAGTCATGACGCATGAAATATATCGAATACAAATAAGCTATGTCGTAATTGTGTGATTTCTTAATTCATTCGTGTTTAGGATGTTTAAGGACATTCGGTTCAACCGAAATCTCAGCACGGATACAGAAGGCTCGACTAGCTTTTGCCAATTTGCGTCATTTATGGAGTAGGCGAGATATCCGTCTATCAACCAAAGGACATGTTTACTGCGCAGCAGTTCGTTCCGTCTACTTTATGGCAGTGAAACGTGGCCGGTTAGAGTAGAGGATATTCTTAGGTTACTAGTATTTGATCATAGGTGTCTTGGAAACATTGCTCCTATATCCTGGGACCATCGAGTAAGTAACGCAGTCGTTAGGAAAGGGGTACTAGGTAAGGATGGCAAATCGATCGATGAAGTGGTGAGACTTCATCAGTTGAGAAGGCTGGGACATGTGTTACGTATGCCCATTCATCGACCGCCTCGACGTGCGATCTTCAGTGGTATAGGAGTAGGTTGGAAGGGAGCTAGGTGCGGCCAGACCAAAAACATGGCACAAATCCATGAAGTCACTGTTAAGTGGACTGAGTCATGTTGGTAGATGCAGACTACCTGGTTGGGGACCGCGAGATGATAGCAACCGATGGTTAGAGACCCTGAATTACATGGCTCAAAATCGTTGCAACGGCGCAGGTGCATCCATTCTTTGTGTTCTCCCAAATTTTGATCTCCTGATTCCTCCTTGTCTCTTTTTTCTCTTTCCGAATTTATTTCACTAGATTATACTCCTTAAATAACATCTCCAAACCCTAATCTTCTCGACTACTACTTATACTCTTACTACCTCTACCACTACGGGATTTGAATCGACAACTGCATCTCTGTGCTGATGTGGTATGGCAACTCGAACGGATGTACGTACGTACGAAGTTCTACGTGTTATTGACTTGACTTGACTGGTTCAACCGTATATCTTGATCTTTCAGAGGAATGAATTATTGTTTACGAGTTATGAATAATTTTATATGCCTTTTAGATTATTACACCGTATTTTTCACATCGAATATTTCGGAATTGATTTCATTCTTTACATTCTTTTACATAATAATAATTTTAATGAAGATGCATAAATCACTTTTCAAAGCACAATATCCGTATATAGGTCACACTCATATGTGATAGAATATGTCTGAAAAACTATCTACTGATCAATTCATAACATTCCTTCAAAATTCTGATAGTATTAAAATGAAAATATTGTCTATAATGTTGACCTAAATTGTTAAGCATATTAAAATATTTAAAAAAAAAAGGTTTATAACTTAATTATCTAAACAATATCAAGTGAATTAAAACTTCACCCCATTTCACAAGCAAATGGCTATCAGGACTCAGTAGCTAAAAGGGTAACGCGATGGTGTTTGAAGCGAACGTTAGCGGGTTCGAGTCCCGGAGTAAACATCAACTTTGGGATGTGTGACGATGGACCACCGGTAAACTCGAGGAAGCTGTAAGAGGCTCATAAGGAGCCGAAGACGTTCCATCCAATCACCTGTCGGAAGAATGTTCTAGAATTCCAACGTGTAGCTTCCCCATTGGATAATGCTAATAACACCCTGTACGCGGATTGGAAGAGGATGCAGGTACATCCAGTTGACGAGTCTTAAATAAGACGAAACGCGCGTCAAACTGCATTCCACTGCTAGCCACTATCCATCTTTGCTTAGAATGCTTTTGAATTAAGGCAATACGCACAGTATGCACATATGCCAATAAGAGACTGATCAATTGCAGTGCTAAACATCAATGGGAAGTAAACAATACCAAGTGAATGTATCTAAACAAATGTTTAAGTAGAGTGAAAAGTAGATATCATAATATTAAAAAGAATATTATCAAATATGTTGGTAAATCGGATCAAACACTTCTATGATGTAAGTAATTGAACTATGTTTGCCATCTAATTAATTGTATTCTCCTAAATGATAAACCTTTTTGGTATTATCTCCATCAACTGCTTAACTGTCACATACAAGAAATCTTCAATTTAATACAATGCACTACGATTAAAACGTTAATTGTAGGTTAGTTTACGTCATCTATAGGTTTGCAAACTGTTTCAGTGTTTCGGGAAGTTATACAACTGTTATGAAGACGATTTTCATCTCGATATTTCCCTATCACTTACGATACATTGTCGCAATGTGTTCTATTCAAAATTGTTTCAAACGAGTAAATCAGTTGACTGAGACATACTACTCAGATACTATTAATTAGTTCATGTCATACGGCAAATATTCCTGTGAACCAGCTACATATGATACATGTCAGTTCTATCTGCTTTCCTTATTTTAGATCGTCTGTCACCTATTCCTGTAGAGAAAACTATTTCATTGATTGAGTTTACGGATCTACTCTCCTAGCTGAAGATTTGCTCATCGTTTTTTTTCAATATTTCAACCATAAATTCACTTGGTTTTGTTTTACCTGAATATTCCCACTCATGTTTAGAACTGTAATTGATCAGTCTCTTATTAGGATATATGCACCCTATGCGGATTGCCTCGATATAGCCTTAATTCACAGGCTTTTAAGCAGAGATGGATAGTAGCTAGCAGTGGAGTGCAGTTTGACGCGCGTTTCGTCTTATTTAAGACTCGTCAACTGGATATGCCTGCATCCCAAAGTTGATGTTCACTCGGGACTCGAACCCGCTAACGTTCGCTTCAAACACTATCGCGTTACCCTTTTAGCTACTGAGTCCTGATAGTCACCTGCTTGTGCGATGGGTGAAGTTAAATCCACTTGGTGTTGTTTTAATTGTATCTTCCCATTGTTATTTAAAACTGTAATTGATCAGTCTCATGTTGGCATATGTGCATCCTGTTCAGGTTGCCTCGATAATGCCTTAAGTCACAAGCTTTTTAAGCAATGATGGATAGTGACTAGCACTGGAATTCAGGCCATGCATTTCGTCCGATTTGGGGCTCGTCAGCCGCACGTACCTGCATCCCAAAGTTGATGTTCACTCTGGGACTCGAACCCAGTACCGTTTGCTTCAATCATATTTTGAGTGCTAAGTGAAGAAGAGTTACTTATTTGTATATCGGACATTCCAGTATGAAGTTATTTATTCATAAACTACTTCATCTCTTATCTAGACTTGATAAACATAAATTATTTCCAATTCTCATGCATAAAATGTTTCTCAAAAATAAATAGATTGAAACTTTCTTTGCAATAATATGTTACATCAACCATAATATTTGATTATACTTGTTCATGTTTATCTTCAATCCCTTTCCATTTTTCATGTGTATTTCTACTTCTTTATTCTCAATTCGGTTTAGGATATCAAACAATATCTCACTAGGATTCGTTGTTGTTTAGTACCAACATTTGGCCATCTCATTGATTCACTAATAACCATACGAATGCATATAGATAAAGCACAACGTCATCTACATAGTTTATCCACTCCTACTGAAGAATTTTTCTCAAATTGTAAACTTATTATTATAGATAGTTTAACAATGCCATTTTATCGTGTATGTCCACTTTACCACAATTGGGTAAGTTATTTCTTTGTAGACTTATATGTATGGTAGTATTGTCATTTGATGAATTTATTTGTTAGTTACTCTAAAAGCTACATAATACTGGATTAATGTAGTATAATTGTTTACTCTTTTCTTGTCTTAGACTATCGATTCTGTCAGTATAGGTTTATGGAGATTATTAAGTTATTGATTGAGACCTTGAACCGATTGATGTTAGACCACTATTGAAAACCTGGAAGCACTGGACGGCCGTTCCGTCCTATTGTGGGAATCTTCCCGCTTACGAGATTTGAACGCAGGTCCTTCAGTCTGGTGCGCGAACTCTTAACCTATTAGACCACTGAGCTGGTATCCAACGGTGTTAATTTCTAGCCAGTTTAGCAGAAGTCTCTGCATCAGTAAACCACAACATACACAAGGGGAAAACGAAGGTCCTCAAATACAACACGGAGAACACCAAACTCAATCACGCTTGATGGCGAAGCTCTGGAAGATATGGAATCCTTCACGTACCTAGGAAGCATCATCGATGAACAAGGAGGATCAGATGCAGAATCGGCAAAGCAAGGGCCGCATTCCTACAATTTAATAACATATGGAACTCAAAACAACTTTCAACCAATATCATAGTGAGAATCTTCAATACGAACATCAAGGCAGTTCTACTGCACGGAGCTGAAACTTGGAGAACTACTACAACCATCATCAAGAAGGTGCAAGTATTTATAAGCGATCGTCTACGTAAGATACTCAATCTTCGTTGGCTCAACACATCAGCAGTAGCCTACTGTGGAAGAGAAGAAATCAGCTTCCCGCTGAATAGAAAATTAGGAAAAGAAGATGGAAGTGGGTAGGACGTACATCACGGAAATCAGTAAACTACATCACGAGGTAAGCTCTAATACGGAATCCTGAAGGGAAGCAGAAAAGAGGAAGGTCAAAGAACATATTACGTCGGGAAATAGAAACAGGTATGGAAAGGATGAATGACAACTGGAAAGGATTGCTAAGGATAGGATTGGATGGAAAGTGCTGGTGGGTGGTCTATGCTCCTCCACGAGGAGTAACACGCGTAAAAAATAAAGCTGTTGGAGTTTTAAAAAAACCTAATAATTCACATGTGTATGGAACGCTGTATTTTATGGTATCCCAACTAAATTTGAACTTTCTCCATCAGCCACAAATTAAGCGTAATTTTTTCATGTTTATCAGATACTTATGTACCGAACAATATCCACTGACTTTTCACAAAAAAAGATATTTCAATACTTACCTATTTTCAACCTTTTTTTGAAACTAAATATCTATAAACTAGTGACTAACTCTTGATTCATTTTAAAAGACACATTTTGTTACAACTTTTAGCCTTATGCGTTATTGATATATAACCTAATGATACCTCCAATTACAAAACAGTGACTTATCGACCGAATCAATGATTCACAAAAACAAGTATGAGCAGTCTAGTGTCCTTATCGGTTCTACTTTCTGTCTAGTCCCGCCTGTTTAGTTCAGAACATCAATCTCAATCTCCGCGATATGAATCATTAATTTCAAACATACTTGGTTTATATACAAACCGAACAGATCACTATAAAATAGAAAATAACATTTATACAAGATCTAGCAAAAAGTGGCTGTAAGTGTGGAACACTGTAATGAATAGACTGGGCTTAACTCAAGAACAGTAAACCGTATAATGATAGTCTATGGGTCAAAATAAAGCCCACAATAAGAGGAACACGAATATGAATAGTACAGTTACTTAACAATCATACAATAAGAAATATATGTATAGTATTAGTCCATACATTCATCCCAACAGTTGTTACCACTCAATATCTTCATAGGGATTCAGCACATTTTAAAATAAGATTTAATGTGATGGAGAAAGTGTATCCGGTTTATTTAATTGATTGTTTTTCATTATCATTATTATTAACATTACAATGTACTTTAAATCAATTTGTTTATATTATTATTAAAGGTATATCACAACTTGCTCTTATTATATCTGAACTACAACGTTTATCTACATTATATCATTGTACTATCTTAGTTACTAATCATGCACGATCTCAATTTACTAATTTTTTAAATAAACAACAATTTAATCGAAATTCATGTTCATTACCACCAACTTCAATTGGTTGCCTTGGTATCAATTGGTCATTAATACCGAATCATCGTGTTTTGTTTGAATGTTTAACACAATGGACAAACTCTCTATCTTGTAAAATTAAAGTTCAATTAGTAAATAATAATTTACATAAAATAAATAAACAAACAAATCATTGTAATAAACATCAATGTAATTCTGAAACAGTTTGGGAATTTACTGTGTAATGAATACTCCAACCTATATGAGAAGATTATATAAGCAGGTACTGTCTATTTGTTACAGCCATAAACTTGGTTGTTTGTTTATTTAGTTTATTGACAATTTTGACCTTTGCTCTTTCGTATTTTATCAAAAACTTCAACTTTTGTACTAATACTAATGAAAGACTTAATACTATTGTAATGTAAGCTACTTATATCGATATAAGTAGTATAAAACTAGAGTCAAAAATAGAATATACTTCATGTAGAAGACTGATATTTACAAAAGGAACCATTAACTTTCAGACAATTGATTGATATTTTGCAAATTAAGTATTTACTATATAGTTCTCAGAGTTTAGTAAGATATTCTGTAATTTTATATTCAATTACATTCAATTGCACCCACTCGTGTTCTCCTTCACTACACTGTCGATTAATTTGTTCCTTTGTTTCATTCACTGTTCAGTTTCGTGTTATGAACTAGTTGGACTAGGATAAATGTCAATGATATTTTCAAAATAAGAAAATTTGGTTCAGAGAAGACTTCTCTTTCAGCGAATTCATTTTCAAAGCTGTACAATTGAAAATATATATATACTTATTTTTACAGGATGATAATAATACTGATAATAAACGTCTGTTAGATATGATGACAGTGAGGTTAAATAAACAAAGGTATTAAAAAATGTTCTTTTAAAAACACTTGCTTACTTAGTTACGCCTGTTACTCCTCGTGAAGGAGCATAGGCCGCTCACCAGCATTCGCCATCCAACCCTGTTCTGGGAAATCCTTTCCAGCTCCTTCCTTTTAAAAACAAGGAGAGTTGAATAACCGTTTGATTTTATTAATAGCTCAAATATTCATCAAAAGATAGATAGGGAAATTATCATTGGGAAAGGATGGCTCAGCATGATAAGATATAATGTGTAACATCACATTGAATTAAAAAAGACAGAGGTACTGTTGAACAAAAAACACGTTGGGCGAAAAGAATATAATTTTGACTTTTCTACCCGTCCTATCACCTCCCCTTCTTTTTCCGTGGAGAGTCTGTTCGAAGGTTGTTCTTTTTTGTGCTCCCTGAGATCCACGACCGGTTAGGTGATCGTGTTCCAGCTTCTTTTGAAAAATAGTCTGTTCAAGCTTCTGCTTTTTATGCTTTGCTCCTTTGTTCAATACATATATTATTCTTCCTACCCCACGAAACAGTGTTGAATCTTCATGTACCATGTTACAAATAATGTGACTTTATTGACCTGAGCTGTTTTATCACTGACTAGCACCTTCACTATATATGTGCATTGTAGTGTGTGGGTTTTCATAGAGATTAAAGGATCCTTTCGTGACCCCTGAACATTCTGGTTTGGCAAATGCTTCTCAAACACTTGTTCTGCCAATTGATTCATCATAGCATTAAAGAGGGATTCTATGTAACCTACATGAGGTGTGAGAGCACACAACATCTGGTACAATAACATCTGAAATGTGATCAGAGTGTAACTTCATTAGAAACTAATGGATCATTAAGATAGTTAGCATCTGAAATAACAGCATTAAAAATTTGATCAGAAATCGATTCATTTGGAACATTGGTCTAACAATGGTTTTCAATTTCACCAGAGGTGACTGGATAATTAAAATGATAAGAATCTAATAAAAGAGCATTTGAACATTGTTTAGAGTCAACAGTAATAAAGAATACGTTAACCTCTTCTTCAATCAAAAAACTATTCCTTATTACATCAGGAAATGTATCAGTTACTTCGTTAAATATGTCTATAATTTTTAAGTGCGATTTCGGACTTGATTGTTTGAGTACGTGTTCCATCAATACACTGATGATCATCAAATGAGATTAAATGAATATACTTTCATTGAACTGAAGGATTGATTTTACTTCTGTGACTGAAATTGTCATGTTCTTACACCAGTATACGTGTCGTTTGTTTTAATAGTGACTTGATAAATAAAAGCAGTAGTATATTTATAACTGAGGAAACAGGATTCGGGGTAAGGTAAACTGACAACTGAGTTATAACTGGAACTAGACAGTTATATTAAAAACTGAAACTTGTAAATTGACTCTGTCAGCGATTGTTATGGTTTTCTTCTTTCCAATATTTCCTTCGCCATGATATGACTGCGTCCCTTATAGTGTTTCTCAGTGCTTCAAGAAATCGAAACGACAACAGCTGCACAGTATTAAATATAACGTTTTCGGTATCCGTGACAAAATTGAAAGCTCATACCAAATGCTAGATTAATTAATAGCGCTCATAGTTTTGAAAGACGAGGAATAATTGACAAAAGAATCACCATCACCGTAATTCTGTACTCAGTTCTTAATGGAAAGGAAATATCAATAGTTACCATGTTCATGCCCTAAACATGATTGAACAAAACATTAACTACTGAGTATTATTAAGTAGTTGAAATTATACACAACATAAGCTGAACAGAAGAGAAATGAAATCTGAAGCTTTAAAATAAAGTCAGTAGTACCCTCACAACTTTTCCTTACTTTGAACCCAGACATCCTTCAACCGAAACCACCTAGACACTGAAATGGTAGGTTATGCATTTCATGCAATCCTATCAACGAAGTACGTGATTCTTAAATTTTCAGGTGTATTGGTCGTTCTCTTTATCAAACAATAAATCTTACTAGATACAGGTGTCTAATACAGTCTACTTATTTTCATAGTTCAAAATGATACATCATCTGATTCCTCTGATATTAAGATCAGTGTAGTCCTCTTGTACCAACCTGTTTCTACTAAAGGCTGACCTTGACAACCAGTATTTTAAATAGAAGTCACAATTTTGTGTCATAAGCGAATGCAAATGTTCCGACTTATACTCTCTTCATTATGATGACTTATCTCTTTTGCTTGAATAATATCACACTTTCTGTCTTTCAAATTTTTACACCAAATACTTGACAGTTCCTGGTTACGGAATGTTATTTAGGTCCATTGAAGCTAACCGTGTCTATTTATTACCTTGGTCATAACTCCCCTTGTCTTATGCAAACTGTATAAGATCATACGAATATATTTATAATTTGATAGATCTTATATATTTATTTTTGTGGTTGATGTCTAGTCCATTTTTAGTGATAAACGATGAATCAACATTAAGTGATACGAAGCCTTGGATTCATGTCAGTCGAAATTCTTTGAAAGCTACAAGGTCAATACAATGGTTACTATAAGTATTTAGAACGTCCAAATGATGCTAGAGACCGTGAGATTATTTCAGATAGCGGTGGAAAAGAGAAGATACAACCTGAATGTAAGACCTCAAGGACACCATCTAGACACAAAGACTAACTTCAGGAGGGCTATAATTCTATTCTGATCATGAAAAATAAAATGTCCTACGTTTACAATTATTTGCACTGATATAGTTTGAAGAAGCACATAAAGCAATTATAGGGTGGGAAACCCATTTCACCAGCATCACGAATGGATTCTTCACAACAGACCAGGGAGTAGTTATGATGAATATCATCCAGTGTTACACACTAAACGATGAGAGGAGGGGAAATGATTAAGACCAGTTTTATGAGAGACTCTAGTCCATCCTAAATAGATCCCGAGAAAAGACCTGACCATTCTGATGAAAGACAAACGCCAGATTAATCACATATGAATAGGCAATGAGTTTTTAAGGTTCACAGAAGACATAGGAACGAAGAGAGCAGACAATATAGTTTGAGACCATCACCTGACAATAGTCAAGCTAAAACTGAAACCAGAACATTCTATGTTTTTCTACTCATTGGGATATCGCAAATATACTATTTATTTACATTTCAATATGTTAACCACGAAAAAAAATATTTGTTCTCTTGTGTTCCATTCCGTCACATTTACATCAGCAGTTCAGTTTTCTAAGTGACGAGATCGAGCAAATAACTTACAGAATGACTTCTACATCCCAGTTTATTTGACATATTTAACTGATTTAAACAATGCCGTTTTCTATGTATCTTTTCATCCCAATCTCAGATGTTTGTAGGGAGTACTAAGTGTTAAGTTTACTTTAATCGGCGTATCGAAAATCACTGCTTAATGACACAATCGACTTAAACTACACAGGTTCCCTATTGAGTGGTAACTGATGCCGTAATAGTTTAGTCGTCAGTTCTGATGACATTTTATCAATCAAGTTGTAATGTGATCACCACTTTAACTTACTCAACATCAAATTCACTATATTTGCACGATAAGTATTTGATTATGAAATGACTCGTATGTATACTTCTATCCAAAACTTCGCATTTCGATGGTGGTTCGCAAAAATAACACTCCAGAATAGTTTGAAAACTGTTATTATTGTGGTGGATCAATATAAAATCCTACTTAATATAAGTTTAGTGTCTATTAATATTGATTCGGAATGTGGATTTTCTGATTTAAAGAAACTAGTGCTTCCTTTACGATATTGAATGTTAGGAGTTCGATAAGTGTGAATACGAACATGGACACGATACTGATCTGTAAACTAAGAAACTTGATATTTCCACTGACTTATAATCATTGGTCAAGTAGTTTCATTCTTGATTGATCTATGAAAACATGAATCAGTCAGTCAGCCAGCAACAACGTAGAACTTCGTACGTACGTACATCAGTTTGAATCGCCATACCACATTAGCACAGAGATTCAAATCCCATAGTGGTAGAGGTAGTAAAAGTATAAGCAGTAATCGGAAAGATTAAGGTTTGA